CTCCTGGCCACTGTAGCCTCCACCCGCTAGGCTCCGGCGATGCTTCCGCCTCAGCCTTCCAAGTAGCTGGAACTACAGGTGCACGCTACCGCGCCCGGCTAATTTTTTTTTTTTTAATTTATTGTAGAGATGAGGTCTCGCCAAGTTGCCCAGGTGGGTCTTGATCCCGCGGGTTCAGGTAGTCCACTCACCTCAGCCTCCCAAAGGCGCAGGATTACAGGCTGAGCCACCAAGCCCGGCTTATATCAATGTTTTAAGAAAATATTGGTTCTTCATAGGAAGGGTTCTGGTTTAAAATAGGTTACTATGGTTTTTTTCCCTTTTCTTAATATTGATTAGGCCCACAGTTTGGGGTAATTTTTGTTTCACAATACATCAAATCATTGTAGCTCTTTCTAGTTGGAGTTTAAGTTTGACTCCAGGCTCCCACTTGAAACTTCTCTATTCCATTCCATTGCCCTTAGGAAGGATCAAAATTAACCCAGATGTAAGGATCCTGCTCCCCACATCCTTCAGAAGCAGGTTTCAGCCCTCTGTGAATTGTAGTTCTTCTAGGATTACTCTAGAATAGAGGGTGGAAACCCTTTTCAGTAGAGAGTCAGATAGTAAATATTTTGGGCATTCCAGGACCATCTTTGTTGTCTCTACTCAAGTCTGCCACTATAGTGCTAAGCTAAAGCAGTCATGGACAATACGTAAACAAGTAGATGTGATTGTGTTTAAATAAAACTTCATATACAAAAACAGGCAGGAAGCCAGATTTTCCCTATAGCCACAGTTTGCAACCCTGTTATAGATCCCAGCATGTTAACACTTCTGTAAAGAAATTCCTTCTGGAGTTTTTCTATGCCTTATCTTCCGTGAAGACAAGACTATGCCGTCAGCTTTCTTAGAAGTACTGCCTCCCCATGGACTTGATGCTGCTCTGGAGAGGGACTGCAAAAAAGTCACATCCTCAGGTGCAGAAGGGGAATTGAGAGCTAGGACAGCCAAGACATCCAACACCGTCTCCTCATTTTACAGAAGAGAAAACAAAAGCCTAATGATAACAAAGTTCCGTCTGTGCTAATTTCTCTAATAAGATAGACATATGCAACCTAGTCCCCAACTCTGACCTCCTTACCCCTCTCAGAATGTGTAAAAACAATAGTGGTGCAGGGCTGCTGCTCCCTGTCCATGTGGCCTTCCTGGCTGCTCTCCTCTCAGCACATGAAATGGGTTGATGACCTCTGTGAGGGACATACTTACTAGATCTCTCCCTGGGGGTTTTGGTGTTGAAGACCGAGAGTAGGTTATAGCGGTTGAGGGTAGGCTCCAGGAATGCCACTGGTATGGCAGCTGCCAGTGAGGCCAGACATTCTCCAAGGGCAGGACGTTGCCTGGAAACAGAGAAATCCATTTAGAAGTGGTACCACCATATGCTGGTCCCATGTTGGGTTTAGAACCCTTTCCCAGGATGTCTCTGGTTATTTGTCCGTAGACTAATCCACTGGACATCCCAGACCCAAGGTTATATGCATTTATCCTTCCCTCATCTTTCTCTGGACACTAACCAATGGTTTACAGCGTTATCCTTATTTGGAACATAGTTCTCAAAACTGGCTAAGAGCCGGGCTCGGTGGCTCAGCCTGTAATCCCACGCTTTGGGAGGCTGAGGTGAGTGGATTGCCTGAGCCCATGGGTTCGAGACCCACCTGGGCAACTTGGCGAGACCTCATCTCTACAATAAATCAAAAATTAGCTGGGTGTGGTAGCGCGCGCCTATAGTTCCAGCTACTTGGAAGGCTGAGGCGGAAGGATCGCTGGAGTCCAGCAGGTCGAGGCTGTGGTGGCTGGGAGTGGCCACTGCACTCCAGTCTGGGCGACAGAGTAAGACTCCAACTCAAAACAAACAAACAAACAAAAAAAACTGGCTAAGGGGATATACTATATTGTGCAGTTTTGCCCTCCCTCCCAACATGTCTGAGATCAAGTTTTGCTGGTATCCACATTGAGATAAATCCTTCCTTTTCTCAAAATGCTTTAAAAACTTCTGCATAATTTCTGTGTGCCTGTTCTCTGCTATGTCCACTAGTGGGAACAGTAGAATAATAAGCCAAAGCATTAACATGACACAAAATAAAAGATCTTCCTTCCATCATAAACAATGGGTCCTAAATTCTACAGCTTGATTTAGAGGAGAGACCTCAAACACCTGTTACTCCTCGCCCTACCTTCTACAAATATTTGAGTGTCCACCATGTATTAAGGTCTGGCTTTTGAGTCTTCCTGTAAAACAATCAAAGAAACAAAAACAAAATGCCTGGGATTCCTAGTTCAGATTCCAAATTCTCCAGTTGAGAGGATTTGAGTTTGCTTTAGGGTAGGCAAGTCTGTAAGTATAAGGGATGGGAATCAGCCACAGGTTGGTCAAGGCAGAACTAGGACTGCAATAGTGTGTTTCCCTCCCATATCTGGGCTTAGCTTTGGAGTTGTATCTTGTCTACTGCTATTGAGGCAATACAGTGGCAGTGCTGGCTGGAAGGACGCTGTGTAGGGACTGACATCTGTTGCTTTCCGTGAGTGAAAGACCAGAGCCATCTGTTTCCCACCTATTAATATCTTCCATCTTCTCACTGGCATCCAATCACAGATGAACTACATTATCTATCCTGTGAGTTACACATATTATGTCAGCTCCCAAATTAGGGGATTTCTTTTTTTCAAATAAACAAGGAATATGAGTCCTTTGTTAGATCATGGCACAAAGATAATGAGGACATATGCAAACAAGTTTATAACTAAGACTCGGATGGGGCTTTCCTCATTCAAGCCCATCTCATGCCTCATTCTCCCTCTCTCTATGGCTCATCTACTCAGATTGAGCACTGATGCTGTATATATGAAGCCCAAGAGCAGAACCCCTAAGGCCTGAGGGGGATTGCATCTCAGGGGATGTTATAGTTCTCATAAAGACTCTGCCAGCTGGAGAAAGTACACTTGGAGCCAAGAACCAGCACTTAACCCTCTTCTGTGATGCTGTGGAAGCAGAAAGGAATCCAGCTCTCAAGGGTTCCCTTCAGCTTCCCATTGAGACCCATACCCAAGAGTTTGTGTTCATTGTCCCTGATTGCAACAATAGCCAATAATTCCAGCAGCACCAAGAAGCCAGAATGTCAGAAACACAGATTCTCTGAATGTGTAGAGGAGCTTTTTTTTTTTTTTTGAAACTGAAGAGTAAACCAGATAATCTTAACCTTAACCTTTGATCTCCAGATGATGAAAGTCCCTCACTGAATGCAGAGCAAATATAGAACTTGTGTTCCACATAGAACCCTGAGTCAGCAATATGATCAAATAACATATCTTTATGAACTAGTCATAAGGATTAAAAACAGCCTGCAACTTGGTTATAACATAGAGAAATAGATATATTTGAGCTGGATTAGAATGTGATCTTAACTAGTCTTGAGAAAAATGACTGCAAGAAAATGAAGAACAAAAAAAAAAGAAAAGAAAAGAAAAGAAAAAATGACTGTACAAGACTGTCTAGAAACAGAATCTGCAGGGGGTTAGACCCAGGGGTGTAGAGAACTGTTCTACTTGAAATACAAGAGGAAGCTGCTGAACTAGAGGGGAAAGGAGAGGGTGGGTGAGTTGGCAGAAAGTTGTGTATTCTTTGGAAAACTTACCTAGTCTTCATTTAAGTTACCACACATAAAAAAGTGATCTTTTAAATTACCTTAAAGGGAAATTAATTTAAGTGGCTTTATTTTCTATCCTCTTCTTAGGCTTGCCTTTTAGAAAACTAGCTGACATTTTATTTTGTCATAACGTTTTAAGCTGATAACTTTAAAATCAGTCCCCAATCAGCAACAGTAGATTGACAGGTCCTCACTCAGGCAATCCCTTCTTAGCTGATGGCAGCCTTGTCCTTTAGATGAAAGTTTGACAGTTAAAGTCTCCCCACCCAGGACTGCTCCACAGGCAGAGCAGAAGCCCTTGAACAAACCAACCCTACAGTGCCCTATATTTCAATGCTGCCCTGGATCCCACTGGAGGTGCATCACTTGTAGAGGGTGAGGGACTGAGACTGCAAAGGCTGCTGAGACCTGGTTACTCTTCGAGAAGCTTTCACAGTGCTGCTTCACTTCTGAGTAGGCCCCAGATCGGGACTATTCCCTCACCTTTCCTTCACACCACCTGTTCTTCCCCATTTATTTCCCTTCTTTGCTAAGCTCAAGATGATGGACAGGCATGAGAAGAGGGCCATCGTTTTAACTTCAAACCTGAGTGGCCAATACCTCAGTGAGAGCTGAGGACAGTGAGCACCTCTATCCATCAGATATGAGCATCCAAAAGGGGTTGTTTTCTTTCATTTAATAGTTTTACCATCTATACTAATCACTGTGGCCAATGAGGAGAAATGTGGTGTTTTCTCTCTTCAGTGCTGCCTTGTGAAGAGGAGAAAGAAATGAGGAGATGCTTTGTGGAGGGGAAAGAAATGCCACAGGGAGGGCATTCATGAAAGGAAATCTGGGTGAAAATCAGGGATAACAATGAGTGAGATCTCAGATCCAATAGCAAATTTGAGTTGCACAGGGAGATGAATCTAGGAAGCAGGTGATCCTGAATTGCTTTGGTGCTGAACTGGTCCATTCTTCTTCTCTTTTTCTTTTTCTTCCTTTGACCAAAATTAAAATCATGATTTCATGAAAATAGACTTCTGGAGAGTTAATCAGATACAAATGCATTCGCTGGGGTAAAGACAGTTGATAAGTCTCAGTTCTTCAGTGTTGCACTGACTAAGGGGATGTGGCCCTGTCCTCTCTGATATTAATTACTGACAAACCTGAGTCTCAACAGGGCATTTTCTAGTCTAGAGCACACAATGGTGCTAATTAGCTGTTCAGCTAAGAGAGAGATTAACAACAGCTCTCTTGGCCTAGCTGTTAAAAGTTCTTTAAAAGTAAAATCCAGAATTCTGCCAATTAATGCTTCTTGCTGTGAAACATCAGTGTGAATGACCTTGGCCCCTGGGCGGAGAAGGAATTGGGCTAGGCAAAGGCTTGCTGTTCTAAAGCTCCTCTGGTCATTAGCACCCCCTAGGGGGCATTGTGGGTGTGAACCAAGCTTTCAGCAGGGCAAGGCCTACAGAAACAGCTCCACTGTAACCAGATCTACTTGAAGAGCTTATCACTGGGCATAAAAACTCTCCTTTTTTGGTCTCAGTTCTTAATACCTAGTACAGTATTTTTCAAATAAGGTTCTTCGTCAACAATGACAGATTAGAAAGGGGTCCAGTCTATATGTTGGTTTGTGTTAGTTCCTAATTTGATAAGTAGAAGGCTTGCCTTGTAAACCTATCAATTTTATTTCTATGCATCTAGGTCTTGCTCTCAAATGTCTATTGTCAGGGACACAGGCAAAGACGAAATCACCAAAGTAATAGTAAGAATGCCTTGCACACACAACAGGGCTTTGCAGTTTTTAAAGTTCTCTCATGTGTATTCCAGAGGATGCTGAAGAAAGGACATGACATATAGCAGAGATACAGAAAGCACAGTGAGGGCAAGGGTAGGACATTGGTCTAAAAAGCAGTAATAGTGACCTTAGAGGTTGAGGGAACATGTGCAGTGTCTGATCAGAAATAATTGGTCAAAGAAAATCAGGCAGGACGAGAGGAATAAATATCTCTAAAGCTCAAAGTGGAAAACACAGCTTTCATTTTAAATACAACTAAGACTCGGTGTTTAATGTTACCAAGTTCCAAGTTTTGTTTTCTTGACCAATCCCCATCAAATACTCTTTCAACTAATCAGAGTATCTCCATGTTAAAGAATGTAAGTATACTGCATGATTAAATGCACAAAGCCATGACCCTTCTCTGAAATTTTGTATCTGAAAATTCCACTTGTCAATGACATTCTCTGGGTTGTCTCAATTAGAAAACATTTCAAAAAAGTGTTTCTACTTTTTCCCGCAACTTTCCCTCTCAGTCAGCCCTATCACAAAGGTACATGAAATCTTTTCTATCCATAAAACATATGTCAGGTATAGCTGGAAACCAAATATTTCATGATTCCCTTACATTTTTATGCACATTCATTAGTCAAGGAAACTTCATTAAATGTGGTAGAGAAATGGTGGGTTTATTGCTTCCCCCCCAAAAAAAAACCACATGAAAAAAGGAAAAAAATTAGGAAAAAATCTGGATCTACGTTGATTAGAAAATGTATGATAACTTCAAACCATAAAGTATGGATCAAATCAAGTGAGGATACTGAAATGGAAACACAATTTCCAGACCTAGAAGAAAGCACAGCAATATCTGTGAGTATTGAAGGGGCTAGAAGATGAGTTTCTGTTTGAAATAATGAGCAGGCCATGGGACACCTGGTAGGAAACATGTGTGTGGGTCCATATTGCAGAAGGGCAGATGGGAGACAGAGTAGGGAAGAATATGCATGCTATGTGCCATTCCTATGACCTGGAGCCCTAGCCTGGAAGACCATTAGAGGTGAGGTAGAATAGAAGAGTGAAAAGTAACCTGTTTTGTAACTGCTGAGTTATCTAAGCAGAGGATAAACATACATTAAATTACTGAGCAAAAGTCCTATGGCTCTAGGATGCACTGAGAGTTCTTGCCAGCTGCTTCATTTGTTGGAGGAGGATACCAGAACCTGAACACTGGTGCATTGCTAGGGCTAAACATGCTGCCGATTTGGTGAGAGAGAGTTAGTCCTGAGTCAGTTTCTCGATGTGAAACTGCCTTACTGTTTCTTTTTATTTATTCTTCTCCACTTTCTCCCCCCCCCACCTCTCTGTTCTTAAGAACTAGCAATGTACCTAACAACCAAGAAATAGATAAAAAACATAGTTCAGGGGGAAAGTTGTTCAGAAAAAATATACAGGAAAAACAAACAAACAAACCCAACAGGGGCAGCCTTGACCCTACAGGCTTCCCCAAGCCTTGACTTCTACCAACACAGATTATGAAACACCAAGCACAATATTCACAGTGCTGCAGATACACAATAAACCTGGGACGAATACATGAATAAAGTATAAAAAGTCATATGAAGAGCAGTCTTTTTCTGGTCTGACATTTCAGAGTTGACCTTTCTTTGACTTTTTTTTTTTTCCAAGAGAAGAATGCATCAGCTTTACAAAACACCATACAAAGAAACACATACACATGGGTGAATATATACATACACACATATATATGTATAACCAGAAAATTAAAAAAGATACTGAGGAAATACTTATAAATGCTCAATGGAAGAAATGAACTGAAAACACATTCCCTAAGTGAAATTTGGTACAAATAAAATTTTTAAAAAGAGATTTTCCTGTTGATTTGGTATAAAATATTCGGTGCTAAACTTTTGTCTGCCCATTTTCTATTCCCAAATGACACAACTCTTTATTCACATTTTATGTAAAACAGTAAGAAGAGCTAGACAATTGTAAAAATGTAAAATCATAATCAAAACAAATTTAGTCATTAACTCCTCAATGAATTTCTTATACTCTGGAAGTTATTTGGAAGCTGTGACTATGAAGAAACAGACATTTCTTCAACATTTTTTGGTTTGTAGCACCCGATTTCTAGTCATTAGATCTTTAGTTCTCGAAGGGGTTGAAGTTTTTGTTTTGTTTTATTGAGAAATCACAGTTTAAATACTTGCAAGCTTTGACAGGAAACAAGGGTTTATTGTTGGTTTGATAACAGCATCAAAAGAGAGGCAACACATGGAAAGTGGATATCAAGGGAAGTTTAGATTAAGTAATTTTAAGCACAGATTGAATTATTTCCAGTTTGCATGTTTGAAAAGACAAAAAGAGAAAATCTTTCAAGGATAAAACTAAGTCCAGAATTTTGTTAATACTGTTTATCCTTCCAATCTTCCCAATGGATTAAACAGAACAACAGAACACATGGCATTTGATACTGAAAAGCAAGGGGTCGCCGAAGGCCTCCACTGCGACAGGCAGATTAGAGGCAAAGCTGGAACCAAAGCACCTCGGCAAATCAGTGTGTTCAGATTCAAGAGTATTGACCAGCATTGCTGCTACCCAAGTGTGCACTCGTTTCAAACGATAGCTAATCTGACAACCGAGACTGGTAAAGGTCCAGGGTTGTATCACACAGAAACTCATTAAACACTAAAGCAACTGCCTCGTGTCCCTGGAGTTTCTCAGCAAGCTTTAACCGCAGGAACCCTGGAAGCGATTTGGAAGTTGTGATTCTGAAAAAGCAGACAAAACTCCAACATGTTTTGGTTACAAGCACAGAATTTAGCTTGGTTATGCTGCTCCTTTAGCCACAGGCATTCACTGGTAATCTCCACCGAAGTTATAACTTTCAATAGCCTCATTGCAGTTCTTAATACTGCCATCAACATTTCATAATCAAGGCTCAAAATTCCATATCAGTGAGCATTTTGGTTTTGCTGGATTGAAAAGATATGATTAAGTGTTTAAAAAACTGTAAGTACCATTTTTCTGAGCCTGAATGTATTAGGCTCTTTTGTTCACTAATTACCTTTCAACATAGATGTTCTTTCCTGTCCCAAGAGAGTAAAGGCTGCACAGTATGTGGTAGCAAGAAATCTGCACATTGCTCACTGAAACAAAGAGGAGAAGTCATTACCCTGCGTCAGACCCAGCCCCACCTCCTGTACATGGAGAGTTCATGAAGACAAAAAAAAGTGGGCATCAGGCAAGAGCAAAAAATCTCGCTCTCTGTCTCTCTCTCAACAAAGGCAGCCCCCCTTTTCTACCCAGATGCTAGTTTGCTAGTCGCTGAACTGGCAGAGTAAACACTGATAGGAAAACATTCGCCACTGAGACATTCCAGTTTCTGTGAGGGACTTATGGTGGGGATCACATGACTTCACTGCGAAAGGAATCATTTGACCAATGGGGCTTTCCATAATGGGATTTGTTTTTTCCAGTAGAAGGAGACATTTTAGTCAAATTTTACCCAGTGCAATATTTCCTTCTTTGGAAAGAATAAAGTAGAAAACCTGAAGCTTGAATGGGTCTTATACTCATTTCCTAGGAAAATATATCTAACAGTCCCCCAAGTTCTCTACTGGGTGTTTTTTCAAAAGGCAGTTCAACTGTATCTCCATTTTGCCATGTTTCCTAGAGGAATGGCATGCTCTGCTTAGGAACTCATAGAGTTTAATATGCAGGCTACATGTCCCTGGCCATGTCTGAAACTCATACCGATGCTGCGATGACTTTAACACAATCAGGATCTAATTTAATGTTTTCTTTTTCACCCGAGGAATTGCATTGTTTCCATGACACAAAATAATGAGTTTGGATGTTTCTGAGACCCCCACCCAGCAGAAAAAATTGATTTTCAGTTGTTCAGGGATATGGAAGACATAGCCTCAGGTACTGACAGCTGGTTAAATTAAATCACATGCTAACATTTAAAGTGTAAAACTGAAGTTTGGTGGCAGAATATCTGTACCACAGGGCTGAACAAACTGCAAAATGCAAACTAAAATAAACCTGACCAATTTTGGTCTTCTGAAGGCCCAGATAATGAAATGTTAGCATCATTCCTTTGCTTGTGGTATCCAATGAATAAATTAAGGTTTCTTAATAAGAAAAATGGTACCCGATAAACCTGGAAGCAACCCTGTATCTCCTGATGTATTATTCAGATAACCTTTCCAAATTAAGCAAGGGTACACACAATAGCTAAGAGCTAGACTAGCAGGTGGGAAATTCTGGTCTAGAAAAAAGTGAGAAAAGATGAAATATTACCAACTCAAATTGGGGAATTTCTTTCCCCCCAAGAGTCTATTACTTCTTTTTTTTTTTAAACCTATGAAGAAAAAAAAAAGCATGGAATAATTCTCTTTCTACTCTTTCTAGGTCAACATCAGTGAATGGGGCCTATACTTCCTACCTGTGGCTATGTGCATATAAAATAGCAGTAGGACTCACAGAGTAGATCCACCCCAAACTGATGCTGAGCGACGTGCTCAAAGATGGATGTCAGGATGGGGAGCAGAGCCACTGTGGTATAGTTAATATTCTGCGAGACGCCTTTAATCTGCGTTCTGGAATGGGTAAACTTCCCGAGCTTCAGATTTTCTGATGTCTTCTCTAAATCTTCTGCGGCATTTTCAAAGAAGGCTCGTAACCCAGCCTTCACCAGCTCTGAGCCTGACTTCATGACAGTCCTGAAAGCAAACAATGTTCAAAACCAGAAGCATAATCCGAACTTTTGGCCAACCCCATTCTTGAAATTGATGATTTGCAGTGCATGCTGGGCAGACATTTGACACCCTGGATACCTGATACTGTGTCAGGAGAAATGGAGAGATCAGTTAATATCCAGGAAGAATCCTGGATCACATGATCTCAAAAGGACTGGTGACTGGGTGGTGTGTTCAGTTTGAGGGAATTATTGCTTAACTCTTCAGGAAATGCAAAAAACAGTTTAGAATGAAACCCATATTAGTCACCTGCTATCTGTAGAAAGCTGCAACTAGCCATAGTCTTCTGTAAATGTCTAATTAAACAGAAGGAAAGGCGAGTTTTTCTTATAGCTTACTGTGGGATAAGCAACTTTTATAAAGACTATCTAGAAACATGAACTCTTCTGATGCAGGACTTCTTAGAGAGAAAGACAGAGTAAGGAAAGAAGTCAACAGAAACTTAAGATTTCTATTAGTTTGCAGGAATGTCCTAGGTGGGACAAGGGGAGAGAAAAAGGAGCGAGTCCTTTTAAAACAGCTTAGTCAGCCGGGCTCGGTGGCTCAGCCTGTAATCCCACGCCTTTGGGAGGCTGAGGTGAGTGGATTGCCTGAGCCTGCGGGTTCGAGACCCGCCTGGGCAGCGAGACCTCATCTCTACAATAAATCAAAAAATCAGCTGGGCATGGTAGCACATGCCTGAAATTCCGGCTACTCGGAAGGCTGAGGCGGAAGGATCGCCGGAGCCCAGCAGGTCGAGGCTGCGGTGGCTGGGAGCGGCCACTGCACTCCAGTCTGGGCGACTGAGTGAGACTCTAATTTAAAAAAAAAAAAACAAAAAAAAACAGCTTAGTCAGACTACTGGAGAAAAAATTCATTGAAATGTGCCCTGTGGGAATGGAGGTTAGCTATGGACATTCAAGGTCTTCCCTCAAAATATAGTATTTCAGAAACTTAGAATTGGAACAAAACCTATAAGTCATCTATACTTTTTCATATTTCTACATCTTATTCAGAAGATTACAACAGACTTGCTGCAATGACAGATGCTTTTTATCTGTAGCATTTTCCTGATAATCATTCAACCAATCAGGACAATAAAACCAAGGAAATAAAGACAGTGAGGTTTGCTCCTATTCTGGAAGCATTCATGAGCTTTCTTTTTAACTTTCTAGTTTCAGGTTTTGTCCTATCTACATTAGGAAAAACAAAAACAAGACCAAAAAGATCAGAACTCTCTCCTGAGACTTTTTGCTTGTTTCCTGGAATAAAGATTCCTAAGGCCAGTTGCAAGAGATTTTGGTTGCCTGGGTTGCCTTGGACTGATTCTTCAAATTTAATGGCCCTTAACTTTTTTTTGGTAGTCATTTTCAGTTCATCATAGATTTTCATCTTTGGGCCACTCTTTTAGGTTGGTGACTCTCTTCTGCATTGGGTCTCCAGGGGTGTGTCCTCCTCTCAACTTGACAAACCTCCTCCTCTTTTTTGACATAAGATCTTGCTATGTTGCATAGGCTGGTCTTGAACTCCTGGCCTCAAGCTATCACTTCAGCTTCCCAAGTAGTGGGGACTGCAGGCATGCTCCACTGACTGGGCTCTGACAAGGGTCACTCTTTTTAAAGTTTATTTTTATTTTTTTAGATTCAAGTGGTACATATGTATGTTATATGATGGTGAGGTCTGGGTTTCTACTGAGCCTGTTACTCAGGTGATGGGCATGGTGCCCAATGAGTGATTTTTCAACCCTTATCCACCCCCATCTAGGAGTCTCCAATGTCTACTGTTCTCATTGACAAAGGCCCTTCTTCAGTGATCATGCTAAAGAAAGCTGTCTATTAGTTCTTTCCACTACCTTCTAAAAATCTCATCATTTATGTTACTATTACCAGAATTTATGTATTATTTTTAAAGACTTCCTCCCAGACCCCTAGGCCATGGGAGCAAAACCCTCTCTGCTTCTAATCCTTTTGAAAACAGAACTCCCTAAATTTCCTTCTTTGGCCATTTTGAATTCAGAGTCTTAATGTTCACTCTTCCAGAATGCTTGTGGTCTCACTATCCATTATACAGCTCTTCCTTTTTTGTGGAGAATTAGGTACAAAGTGACGTTCTGCCACATCATACTGGAGGTGCCAAAAAACGTATATACATTTTAAGCAATGTTCACTGTTCACCATAATCAGAAGTGTCTGGACGCTGACGGTAACCACTTTTTGACCACCTCTCATAATTGTAGAAGTCAAATGTGAGTTGTGTTCATCTTATTGAGTATTACAATTTAATATAGTTTTTTCCTTTCTTAAAATGTGTATACACTTTTTGGTATCCTCTGTATATTTTATCTTCTGAAAGACGAACTTCTCATTAAGAGAAATGAGAATCAATGAGCCCACAGTGTTCAGTCTATGCCATGACAGTGGCTCTTCATCATGTGAACTGAGAAAGAAACTGAGAAACACAGAGTGCTAGCTTCTAGGGTCAGATTCATCGTTGCCCTGTCTCCCCTCTCTTCCAACTCCTGCAGAGCAGTGACCCATCTTTTCTTCATACAATAATTAGTGAGATGAGAGCATCAGAAAGGAAGTCACAAGAAACTATTGGAAAAAAACTGAGACGACTTGCCTTGTGTCAAGTGTCTGAGCTAAGATGTGAAGACAGCTCACCATCGTAGTAGAATCACTGCCTAGAATAAAAAATACCACCTGTTACTCCCCAAAACATCTATCTTTAAAGGCAATCTTCTCCATATGCATAAACCACAGCGCAGTGTAATTAACCACCAACACACCAAGTGCCAGGTCTGTGTTCAGGGACAACACATTAATCTCTAGCCTGACACAGCCTCCGCTTTATGATGGATGTCAGAGGCAGAGCTTAAAACATTCATTGGTGTGGAAAATCTGAGCAGTTAAAGTGGTAGAGAGGTTGTTTATCATGCTTCAGACCAATTTTTCTATGGCAAATTTAGGTAACATCTTAGTCCCAAGACTCAACCAGTCTGAGGGAGCCACAAATAAAAGCAATATGCAAGTTCAGGAGTAATTACAGGGAGGAGTACGGCCTTTAGCAACACTTCTCTTCACTTACCAAAGAGGGAAATCCTGTGTCTAACAAGAGCAGCAAGCTTGCAGAACAGGCTGAAGCAGAAAAATGAACACAATTCAGATTAAAGAGATTCAAGGACTAATACTTTGAATTCCCTCATCCCACACCATCTACCATGCTGTAAAACAGAGACCATGGATTGGGACTCTGAAAAGATGTACTATGTTTCTATCAAAGAATCCTTTGGACTACACTCAGGAAAATGTGTGTCTGTACCATCTTGTTGGAGAATCATGAAAGGTATCTTGCAGGTAGCTCCATCCTAACACAATCTCTCTGCAACAGTTACACTATTTTGCAGTGACCCGGTACAAACTACCCTTTGCTTCAGAGTGCCATATGTTGAAATGTTCATTTGTATGACATTCAGGAACACATGAGGATTCTGAAAGGAAGCATGATTTTCTCCCCCCCATTGTTGCAATGAATTGCAAATCCTTTTGTAGTCTTCAACCTAGGGTGTGAAGGTTTAGTTGGGAGGTGGGCAAGAAGTGGGATTGGAACAATGGAAATGATTCAGGTATGAGAAGAGATTGTGTTAGACAAAATTTATTTATTTATTTATTTTGAGTTGGAGTCTCACTCTGTCGCCCAGACTGGAGTGTAGTGGCCGCTCCCGGCCACCGCAGCCTCGACCTGCTGGGCTCCGGTGATCCTTCCGCCTCAGCCTTCCGAGTAGCCGGAATTACAGGCACGCGTTACCACGCCCAGCTGATTTTTTGATTTATTGTAGAGATGAGGTCTCGCTGCCCAGGCGGGTCTCGAACCTGCGGGCTCAGGCAATTCACTCACCTCAGCCTCCCAAAGGTGTGGGATTACAGGCTGAGCCACCGAGCCCGGCAGACAAAATTTATTTTAAGAAAGGAATATTCTCTGTCATCTCCCATTAGTCCATGGGCCTGGCCCAATCAGTGTCCTAGCTGGATCCTTTGAAACTAGGAAAGCCTATATGTTTTTTGAAACTTCTCAATGCTTTCACTCATATTTTCCACCATGGAACTCCTTGAAGGTTTAGCTGTGCCTCTTTGTTTGACTTTTCCCAGTGCCTAATGAGGGCCTTGTGCAGTTGGAAAGGAGCTCATCGATGTTTCTGAACATGCTACTGATGGACCCCATCTAGGGGTGCCATGACCATCATTTCATTCATGTTGCTGATGCTCTTGGGAGGAGATTCTTTAGAATTCTGCCATTATTTGACACTGGCATGGCTAGACAAGAACTTTGCAATCCCTTCAGAAAGCAGGGGGACAGAAAGAGGGAAAAAAGAAAGAAAACATCTGTTCAGACTGTGGGTTCTCCAGGTGAGACTGAGCTGAAATCATTCCTTGGTCTCTCATTCATAACTTGTCAAGGAGCGCCCTGCTCCACTTGGCGAAAATCCTCTATGGGACAACTCAAATGGAGAAAGAAGCACATCCTGAGAGTTGGAGGGATGAAATCTTGCTCACCCTTAAGTGATTTTCAATGAATACCTGGGTCTTTCTGGGCTGTCTACTGGAGAACCACAATCAAAGTCCCCCGTAGATAGTCATTTGTTTTTGCAGTGGAAATAGATTGGAAACTGCTGGCCTGAGCTTAAGAGAACTCATAATAATTAAACAGAAAATTGGCAGCCAGCTAGGATGAAATTAAATATGGACTACTGCTTTTTTTTTTTTCAGAGATGCGTATTTGCTGCAGACTCATGGAATTGGAGGAGTGGGACATCCCTGAGGAATGAGGGCTCTGTGGCTCTGCCTATGATTTGGTGGGCTGTCTTGGTGAAGCCCCTTGCCTGCTCTATGTGTTAGTTTTCTCACCTGTAAATAGAGTAATCATATGACTCTCAGTTTGCAGAATTAAGGGCAGATAAACTCAGATATTTATGGTGAAAATACTTCAAGGTGGACACACGTTCTATTTAAATACAAAATGATGCTTCTGTAACAATATTTGGGTTGTTTGATCCTAATGCTAACACGGCTTTCCTCACTGTCAGAAATGCTTTCTCAGGCATGTGAAGGCCAGTACCTGAAATTTCCAAAGGCCCCTGCTTGTTCCCTATGGAGCCCATGATTTAAGTGGAAACACTAGCCTTAGCTCAGAGTTATGAGGGACCTGAGTTTCTAGGCGTCTCTCCCTTATCTCCGACTTGGAAGGCAATAAATTAAAGAGATCCCAAGGAGAGTCTGGGACCCACAGGTGAACAGAATCAGATGCATAAGTGGGACAAGGACAAAGGATGCAAACAAGAGGAGTCTGGCAATGTGAACACATTCAGGACAAACACGACTGCTTCTGCAGGAAGGCAGCAAGCACACTGATGGATTTGAAAGCTATTTGCAAGGCTGATCAGTGCTAGGTTGTACTCCAGCTGCGACAAATGGTGCCTGGTTGAACAAATGTTACATTTCCATGAATTAATAATCTACGAAAAATAGATGACGAAAACAGACACACCTGCCCTCTGTTGGTTTTTCTGAATATCTCACTTTACCCGTCATTTCCCTGGCTTCTTACAAAACACATTAGTGCATCCTGAAAATGTTTAGGAGGTCTTTGGTCAATGCCTGGTTTTAAGGATATCTCATTTTGATAGAGTGGGGTTTCTCCCATCTTAAATGGGAGTAATCATGGTGCAGAATAAATGGCACTCAATGTAGATAGAGAGGACTACTTGGGTCACTTTGGGCACTGGAGTGGACCTGACTGAACCTCTGTTTCTTTCTCTACCAAATGGAGATCATAATACATAGCCAGTTCCTAGAATGTAAAACATTATGATGCTTCACAATGATACTTACACAAATGGTTAACAACTATTACCATACAAAAAATTAAGCTCAGTGCTTAGCCATGTTAAATGTTTAATAAATGTGAGATAAATTCTGAAGTTGAGTATCCTCCCAAAGATGGTGATCTTTAATGACTGGGCTCTCATACAGCATAATGTGCACTGTTCACTGGCAATGAATGCTAGGGAAAGAGTTGACAGCCTACTTTCATTCAAGTCCTCGGCTCTCTGCTATTTAGAAGTCTAGCCCATTCCTTGTCTTTCATTAACCAAATACAGAGAGAGCCTGAGGAATGGTAGAGTTCATCTCTTAGCCTGATCATGAAGCATCACCTCTGTTCTTATCTACATTATACCGAGTGGAATGAGTAGGGAGGCTGGCGCTTTTGATGAAAATATTATTTCCTATTAAGAATTTAAAATTGAATTATATAGCCTAGATTTCAAATTCCAGATCACCCACATCAGGACTTGTAAGATCTGACTCTTTAAAAAAACTGTAATTTGGAAATCTTAAGAGGGAGGGGATTGAAAACAGTGTTTACCTATTTATTCTCAGTGTCACGTGTTTACTTTCCCCAAGCTTTAGAATGCTCTTCGTTTTTTTCTAAAAGTTGTTTTGGGATAGATGTTGACTTGAGTATATAAATCTTCCCCAAGCCCTACTGATCCTCCCTAATAATGTACTTCTCTTAAATGCTGAAATAATACAGAAGGAATGAATATGATTTCTTTCAAAGTCAAGATGATAATAAAAACCTCCAAGCTACCAATCATCAGCATATACCTCATTTCTCTAAAATATTCACCATTTAGACCCCAGGAAGCTGGAATTTTAAATGAACCACATTGGTACCATGACTTTATCTTGTAGACTCACCTGGCCACCATTTCTTTCTCCTTATGGGAGGCATACCCGCTGCTGCTCAGGGGCTTCAAAGGGGATGACAGGAAGTAGAGGCGGTGATTGGTGAAGTACTGGTCAACTAGTGGGAGGAGAACCTGGAAGACCCACCAGAAATCAACTTCTAAGAAGCTAGCTAAAGACTTTCCTTTGATTCATTTTTAAATGTTTGATCTCAGTGAACAAAAATCCTCTGAAAAATCCTAGTCATGGAATTTCTGGAAATTCTACTTTCTAGGTCTCAGTTTCCATCACATCTTCCTTTTCTCTACTTCATACCAGAGGCCTTGGGGATCTGTGAAGGAGAGAGTCACTGACCAAGGGCCCAGAGAAATGTCATGCTGCCCTGAGTCAGCATTTGCAGAGGAGTCCTGTGGGACACGTGCTCTCAGATAGGGTTTTCTGGGCATCCAACAGGTACACTTGAGACAAGGCCTAGCATCACTAGCCTCAAGCATTCTGTCTGTGTTTCTCAGAGCAAGGCACCTCAAGGCCTTCTATGCCATTAGTCCTCTGAGAAAGGTTGTATGGCAGAGACTGCTCTCTGGCACTCAAACTTACTCTCCCCTTTTTCCTTGTATTAACAGAACTCCTGTGTTTCAGCACACTACCCAGTCTCCCTTTGCGGCTAGATGAAGCTCAAATGACTAAGTTCTAGCCACTGGCATAGAACATTTAAAAAGCAGTAGCTTGCTCTCCCCTCTCCTTTTCCCTTTTCTCACAAGCATGGTGCAGGTGAGCCTACTTGGACCACACCTTCGGAAATGTTGGCACACCAAGGGAGAAAAATCCCTGGTTACTGTGTGGTGGTGTGGGCTGGGCAGGCTGCTACCTTCTCGGACTGTCCACTTACCTTGGGGCTGTTAAACAACAGAGGAATATCCATCCACCTCACTGAAGCCATTGGGGTCTCAGACATCTTTGTTGGATCAGCTTAACCTATACCCTAAATGGTAGAGATTCTAATAAGAAAGTACTTTGATTAAGTGTAGAAAGTCACTTACTTTGGCAAAGAATTTGATCTCCTGGTCATGGGGAGACTTTTCAGTTTTCCCACTGCTGACAATGGCTTCTACAAAGACACAGGTTGGCCAGGGTTAAAAAATAAAAGTCAATCACATTCTAGAAACAGAGCAGTTTTTCTAAAGGCTATAAAAAAGGCTATTTGATTTCACAAACATAATTTACAGAGTACTTTACAATTGTGCTGGTTATTTCTTGTGTCAATTCTCTAACCTTTTCACTACCCTCTTTCTAATGATCAGAAAGCAGTTTCAGAAAGGTTGGGTCACATGTCCACAGTTACAAAGGAAAAAAATGGGAAAGTTAAAATAGGATGAGTTGCATGAAAGGAATGACAAAAAGTTCAACTAAATCCAACAGAGAAGCTGAGGATTAAACTGATTTTTTTTTAAGGAAGGGGGAAAAAATCTCAGCCACTGTTTTCCCCCTAAAATCATTTGTCTAGATGAATCGAATAGTTACAGTATGAAAGGAGCATTATTTGATAAAGAAATATCAACTTCTTCTGTGATATTTCACAATGATACTTACCCAAATGTGCAATAAATTCCTGAGCAGAATCAACATATTTCAGAATCTTCTTCAAAAACTTATAGGCAAACCTCTTTTCCATGGAGGAGGCATCCAGCTCCAAATCCTTCATACCTCTAGGTTGGAAATGGGAAAACCCCAGGAAGTAACAGAGATAACCACGTGACTTTGGTACATCATCAATCCTACCAGTGTGGAACTTAAATTTCCCATTGCTTATGGTAGTTCTGCCGTAGTGACTCATTTGACTAACTTCCCCTTACACTTGGAACCTGAGCGTGTGATGCCTGTATTACAATAATTTCCAAAAAGATTTTTCAGGAAGACATTTATCACTCACATAACAAATATTGAGCTGGGAATGTCAGAGGAGAAAACAAAAAATCTTTGCTCTTACATACTAGCTATGCTAGCTGTAAACAGACATAGAATATAAATTAGATAGAATGCTATAAGTTAATATGTCTTTTGAAGAAAAAAAAAAAAGAAGGCAGAATGAAAAGGCCCAGGAGTGGGCAAATGAAGGCTTGCAGGCTAAAGTGTTAAATATGGTTGTCAGGATTAGTGTCACTGGGTGACTGACATTGGACTAAAGGCTTGAAGGAGGTGAGCCGTATGGGCATCTGGGGAAAGAGGTTTTAAGGCATAGGGATCAGGTGGTACAAGGGTCCTGAGGCAAGAGTATGAAGGCTGAGTTGAAGGAATATGGCAGATGGGCCAGTGTGGATGAAAGGGAAGTGAGCAGGTGGTCAGAGGGGTATGGGATGGCAAATGGGGCAAATCAAGTAGTGCCCTACAGGCTACCCTCAGAATTTTGCTTTTGAGCAAAATTTTGTTCTGAGTGAGAGGGGAAGCAATTGGAAGTTTTGAATAGGGAATGACATGCTAGTACTTACATTATAACAAAATCACTTTGGTTTCTATGTTTAAAATTGACCACGGGGACGAGGTTAGAGAAAGGAGCCCAAGTAGGAGGATAGCGATAGCATGAAGGGATTGATAGCATGAAGCGGGTGTTGTTTTTTAAAGGAAGAACTATCAGAATTTGGATGTGGGTTGGGAGAAAGAGAGGAGTCAAGGTTTTTGGCTTGAGCAATTGGTAGAGTGGGTTGTCATCAAGTGATGGAGAAACTGAAGACAGAGAGGGTCTGAGACGGGGGTGGGGGGTTCGGGGGGGTGGCTAGGATAGTTCTCCTTGGTGGCAGGGACCTTGCTTGGTCATCTATACATCCAAGTGCCTACCACAAGGTCTGGCACATGGCAAATAAATGCTTAGGATATGTTTGCTGAATTCAATTATCTTTCTCCTTGATTTTCTCCTATTTCCTTGACTTCCTTTATCGTGGCAGTAAAGGGAAATTTTTCATTTCTGTGAGCAAGTTATTTATCAGTAGATCACACTGCACATTTATCTCAGTGTTAAGGACAGGATTAAAATGACGATGGGAGTATTTTTCGAATGCTTCCTCAGAGGCTGTCTCCTGCTGTCTGACCTTTCCTGCTTAATATGGCAAATGAGTCTTGTCATTTTTTCCATATGAGATACAACAGAAATATTTGTATATATTATTATTTTTGTCATTCAATGGTATATTTTCTGTAGGAAACTAAAAGGAAAAAGCAGCAGCTTCCTCAGCAAACATTTCTTTTTAGGAGGAAAGACTATATCAGAATAGGAACACTAATTTATTTTCCATCCTACAGAAGACTCAACAAGCATGATCCTACATAGCACAGCCCATCACCAACATTTGGCTAGGGAGAAAATGGAGTCCATCTTTAGTGCTTAAGTAGTCAAGACCAACCTATATAAAACATTCATCTAGATTGGCTTACATAAGTTTGAGATAAAACATTTTAGGAAATCACATGCATTGAATCTCCCCAGAAAAGTTACATCTTCATACGAATTTTCATTGTTCAAAGACTGTTTTTGTCAGTTATGCTTGCTATTGTTACTGTTGAATAAAATGTCATATAATACAACAAAATAAAGGTGTAAAAAGAACTGCTATTCTATGAAAACTAACTTCATATCTTGCAAAGACTCATAATTACAAGCTTCCAAATATATATACTACATATATTATATATGATATAATTGCAAATATACCAGTTTTGAATTAGGTATGAGTGAGACAATTGTAAAAGATAGAGAAGGAATTTTTAAAATGTCTAGAATACTGCACTTATTTGTTTTCATTTGCCTCAAATTCTCATTGTTCTCTAAAGATGCCCAAATTCCAAAGCTGTGAGGACATATTACAGATGTGGTTTTTTAACTCCAATCAATGGAACAACAAACAAAGAAAGGGCCTTGGCCTGTAGCACAAGATTTATGAATGGATGCACGTTTATAAATTTTAAGTTATAATTAAATGTTTAAGGTCTATAAATATAATTTGCCATGATTCTTTGCTGTGACTGATCTTTAAAAATTGATACCTTCTATTCCTGTTTATGTCAAAAAAGGGCTTCATGCTCCAAAATGAAAACGATCTCATCTCAAAAGACTCAAATGGGTTTTGTAGGCAGGTGATTGAATACCTGGAGAGGCAAGGCCCACACCCACAGCCCTGCCCTAGTAACCTCATGTGGAAGATGACTTACCTAGAGACAATAACACCATTCACTTGGAGGAATTTAAACAGGTCCTGGGCCTTCTCTCGGTCCCTGAACTTTTCTTTGGCAGTCAAGGTGTCGTATGGTACCAAAAGAGGATGACTACCACCACCTGGGGTCAGTAAGGTGAGAGACAACAATATATTTGGCTCTTTCTGCCCTTGTGAAAGAACACACCCACTCCCAGCTCACTTGTGTCAGGGGGAGGTTGTGAACCACACTCACCTTTGCTCTCTAGCTCCAGCTTTTTCTTCTTGGCCCAGATATTGTGATAGTTCTCAGCCACAACCTCCACCATTCCCTGTGTCTCACCAAGGAGATGCAAGTCAAAGAGAAAGCAAGCAGGAAAGATGGCTTCGTACCTGCTAGGCTATTTCAGGCAAGCTTGGGAAGGGCATGCCACTGAACACCAACAGTATAGCGCCAAGGGCCCCGTTATTAATTAGCCTGTGCTATGTAACTTGTTAATTTTATATCTTTCTATACACATAGAAAAGAATATCTAATTCTGTGCCTCCTTTGTAACTTATTACCCTGGCATTTTGATACGTTTATGACAAACACCCATTTCCAGTTGAACCTGTGTGCTGTAGCTCACCATTCTTCACAGAAGCTCAGTATCATGCTCCTGACCTGAACAGGGAGTTAGGTGCGGGGGTCAAGGAACAGTCTAGAAACCCACAAAGCCTGCAGCTTAGAAACTAAAAATAATCACATCTCAGAGGAAACTGCTGTAAAAAAGATTTCTCAAAGAAAATCCATCTTGGTAAGTCTGGTAAAACAGTGACTTAGAATGAAGGATGAGCTTTGGAAAGAAATGCTCTCAAGGTCCAAGGGTTGGGTCTGATGGACTCCCAGAAGGGTGAATGCCCCAGGGGGGAACAGGTCCCAGCCACCAAAGTGTGCAGGAGGGGAGAATGGGTGGAAGCAGCTTTTAGTTTCGTCTGCTTGGTTTTACGTCCCTATATCCTGCAATGATTACTTATCTGCACCATCATGGGGAACTTGAACAAATCCACTATGGAATATCCAGGCTGTCCTTATGGTTTGGGGGACTTACAAGGACCAGGCAAACACCTCTACCCAAGGGTCCGATTTCACAGTTTTCTCCTAGCTGTTATGTTTTTGGGTTTCTATACAGTACAGCCAACCTTCTTTATTCATGGGTTCTGCATCCATCGCGGATTGAAAATATTAGAAAAATGTTGCATCTGTACTGAACATGTACAAACTGTTTTTTCTTGTCATTATTCTCTAAACAATACAGTATAACAACTATGTATATAGCATTTATATTGTATTAGAATTAGAAGTAATCTAGAGATGATTTAAAGTGTATGGGAGGATATGTGTGGGTGATATGTAAGTACTATGCCATTTTATAGCAGGGATTTGTACATTTGTAGATTTTGGTATCTGTGAGACGTCCTAGAGCCAAGGTCCCAAGGATACAGAGGGACGACAGTAATGTGCTGGTGATTCTTCACGTTACTGAGTCATCACTTGTGATGACATCCTTGGAAGCAGTGCAAAGCCTCCCCTTCCTGGGTGAGTGGCTAATTCTGCCGAGACTTTCTCTGTTGCCTCTGCACAACGTAGCCCTCTTCAGTTTTGATATTTTGGTGGTGCTATGTTCTAGGCATTCTTTCCCTTTTCTCCCCTTTAACTCTTTGAATGGTAGTATGTCCTGCACTGGAGAGGCTTTGGAAAGCAAGTTATGCTGTTCTGAAGTAACAACACTGACCTGGAGCTCTCTGGAGAGCACAACATTGGAGAGGTCCAGGGGGGCAGGGCTGTAGCTGTTGCCCTAGAAAAGCAAAGGCAGAATCACTGGGTTTGCCTTATTCTTATTATTTTCCTTATTCTTATCAGCATTCCCAACTTCAACTGTTAAAGATACGTCCCCCCAAATCCCCAGGGTTTATCTTGGGTGGGCCCACCTATGATGTCTCAGGGAGAGCATTCCCAGATTGTCGATGGGTTCTATTAACCCAGCTTCAGTCTCTGGGTGTGGTGTCGTACCTGGCTGGCCTGGGACACGCTTCGAAATTTCTCATTTTCTCGCTGTTGAACCAAAGCTTCTCCCTCTTTGGTCCTCTCCACAGTCCAGCCCACTGCCAGCATGGTTTTCAGAGACTCTCTGGCAGGCCAGCGATAAATTTCCTTCTCCTGGAAGAGAATTTGAGCAGAAGAACTCTGCAGAACACGCCCCAGCATTCTGACTGGCCTGTCTCCCCATGGAAGGTGGGTCCCCCAGTGGACAAGGGTGCTAGTTAGGTCTATCCTTCTTTCACAGATCAAAAGATCCCCTGCAGCATCTCACCTGAAGTGCAATCCATTTTTATGATGTTTTACAATATAAGACCCTACAGTCCATTTTGTGGATAAAGAGGAACAAGAACAGGAAAGTGACTTCTCGTGTTCTAGCAGCTGTATGAGATGGGACACTGTCAAAACAAATCTGCACAAAGCTTTCCTCTGAGCTTAGGAAACACAATTTTTTAATATTAGCACTTCTTTTTTGATCGGTATACAATTTCATAGGTGGTCAATATGCATACTAAGATACACACATCATTCTTTATACACACTAGACATAAAGCTTACAAAGAACCCCTACTGTTTGCAAGATAGGAATTTAGAGTTGAGTTGAGCCAAATTTTTTAATATTAAAAAAAAGGCAAGAGACTTGTCCATATTTTTCTGGAGGCTCTTCTCTTTACTCCCTGTATTTCCACATATTGGAAATAATTTCTGTCTGAATTTTGTCCAGCAAATCTCTACCTCTTTTCCTCACCCCAGCCCAACAATCTAATGAAAGATCTCCCTAGTTCAGTTGTAGGAAAACTATAAATGCATTTTGGTTCAGTCTGTAAGTGCTGAAACAGTGCTTCTTTCATCAATGGCCTCTTAAAGCCAAAGAACTTAATGCGAGGTTAAGCTCTTAGAACCTGGTCCTGGAGTTGATGCTCATAGGCAAGTTCATGAGCCGTGTACTGAGTCCTAAGGAACTTGAGTGTGAATGTGTCTTGAACCTTTCTGAGCATCTGGTACAAGTCCCAAGGAAGGACAGAGCATGGCCACATAGTGTGACCAGAGAGGCCCATTTCTTACCTTCTCTGTTAATGTCTTGAAAGGCCTTATCAGTGGGTGGGTCTTCACGTTTTCATCCAGGGAGATTCCGTATTTCCATCCACTCTGACTCTATAGGAACGTTTTCAGTTCAAATATTGTTGGCAGTCAAAGAGCCCTGCTACGTGACCCAAATCCCTGTTTCTATTTTCATTGAACAAGTAGAATAACAGATAGTGACAGAGCTTGGAAATTTCCCCCCAAATGTCTAATCGATCCTTCAAGGCCATCAGGCTCTCTGCCTCCTGAATCTTGAACTCTGCTCTTTTATTTCTTTTTGTTTCAGCTGCTGTCCTCTCTAGTTTCTCACTTGTGTGTCAGTCCCACTTAAAACAGAAGGATGTTTCAAAAGGTCCTGTGAACAACGCTCTCAGGTCAGTACATCACACTCACAGGGAGAACGGAAGGCAGGGCAAAAAGGCACGGGAGGACTGGATCTACTGCCTGCAGCAGGGGGCTATTGGCTTGCACCGCTTGCCCACCAACCCCAGAGCAAAAATGCAATGATGTATGCCTCCTAGTGTCACGAAGTTTAGGAACTTTAAAAATTACCCAACAAGTATTGGGTGAAGGCCTTCTGTGGTATGCACCAGATTCTGTCTTAGGCATGGAGGATACAGAGCTAAGTGAGAGACCCTGATTTCCATACCTCATAGCCCAAAGACTCCTGGCTGCTCTCTCTCAATCTCTGCTTCTGTCCATTTTTTGAATGTGTATATTTCCCAAGTTCTATCCCTTCTCAAGATACACATCTGGGTGATCTGATCTCATCTAGGCCCACAGATTCTACTGATAAGCGACTTATATAAAATCAATGCTTCTCGCCCAGTGCTCTCTCCTACTTTCCAAACCTATTTAAAAGCTTGGGGTGGATGTGTCGCAGGTACCTCTCAACATGTCTGGAACAGAATCCGGCAGTTTCCTTCTCTACTGTCTCCTCCTCATGGGTTCCCTGGATGTCAGTCAATGGCCCCAGCTTACACATACTTTCTAAGCCAGTGATGTGGGAGTCCTCTTTGATACCACTGCTTTGCACTGCACCCTCTCATCTTTTGTCTGGCTCTCTTCCTTCCTGGTCAGTATGTTAACCCAGACCACCATCAACTCTCCCTGGAATTACTGCAAAAGTTTCCTGTGCAGTTTCCCTACCTCCAGCCTTTCTGCCTCTCACGGACTCATTTGTCACACTACTGGCAGTGGATATTCAAAAATCACCCTGCTCAGTGAATATTCAAAAACCACCCTGCTTCAAAAGTTTCTGACTGCCAGCTGCCATCCTGGTAAGACCCATATGACCTCCAAACATGGAGAGATGATCATGTTGTCCTCTCCAGACCCCCCTTGCCCATCTGCCCGCACCCTACTCCATATCCTAGCTACACTGAGCCATGGTTCTCAAGAGCCACCAAACTCTCTTGCCTTCCTGGTCTATACCTGCTGCTCCCCAGACCTGCAGTGTACTCACCTCTCCATGATGAGTGTCTCCTACTCATCCTTTAGTAGGATCTACATGCTGATGTCACTAGCCCTGAGAAGTATCCCTGGACCCCCAGTATTGGATTAGGGATGTCTGTGTGTTCTAACCCTGTGCTCATGCCCATCACAGCACTGAACAACCTGCTCCACAATAGCCATTTATTTTGTTTCTCTCACAAGACTAGAAATTTTTGAGGTCAAGGAAAATTCTCCTTTTCTTTTTAGATAATCCATGCCTACTGGCAGTGCTGAGTAGACATGTATCCCTGCTCCCATGAAGCTTATAGTCTAGTGGCAGAAAGAGAGCTCTGCCAAAGAACCACCCTAGTAAATGTAAAATTGATAACTAGAATAAGTGTATAAACATATAACTGTTCCAAATACAAGTATGTAAAAGTGTTATGAAAGTACACAAAGAAAAAGAACGAGGTGCTAAGAGGACCTATATCTGAGAAATCTGGAAAAGTGTCATGCTAGGAATGTAGGCTTGGACTCATATTCTAGTTGGTGAATGCCATGCACACATGTGTGACTGCAGGCAGGTATCTGGCTCACATAGGGTAGGGTTTATGGCACTTGAAGCATGTGTGTGTGTGAGAGAGAGAGGGTCTAAAAGAAGGGGGACGTGGCTGGAGAGCAGAAGGTGGAGAAAGAGATGAGGCTAGAGATGGTAGCAGAGGTCAGACTGGGCAGTGCCTACCAGGCTACTTCCAGAATTTTGCCCTTTATATTCACAATAGCTAGAAGCTCTTAAGGATTTTAACAAGCTGTGCACCATGGCTCATACCTGTAATTCCAGCATTTTGGGAGGCGGAAGTGAGAGGATTGCCTGAGCCCAGGGGTTTGAGATCAGCCTGGGCAACTTGGCAAGACCTCGTCTCTACAATACATCAAAAAATTAGCCAGGCGTGGTGGCACACACCTGTAGTTCCAGCTATTTGGAAGGCTAAGGTGGAAGGATCACCTGAGCCCAAGCAGGATGAGGCTGCAGTAGCTGTGAGCATGCCACTGCACTCCAGCCTGATAGATGGAATGAGACTCTGACTCAAAAACAAAACAAAAAAACCCACCAAAAAAACCAAAAAAAAAAAAAAAGGAAAAAAGAAAAAAGATTTTAACACAAATAAGGGGATAGAATAGGGAGGAACAGTGGTAGAACATGACCAATTTTGCATGTTGAAACTCCCACTTGCTTGCAGTGTGGAGAACAGCTTGGAGCAAATGCATGTGGGGAGACTTGTAAGGAGCTCATCACAATTGTCTGAGTGAAACATGATGACAGCTTGGATGGAAGTCATGGTATAAGAGTAGAGAAAGTGGTATAGATTTAAGAGATGCTTAGGGGGTAACATCCATATGGTTTAGTGGTGGGTTGCCTGTTGCTATGGGTTCATGGAGGTGACTCTTCTTCCTAACTCATGGGTTGGCCAAACGGCCAAACATACAGAGTTCTTAGAAAACATCGATGTCCTTGAGCAAGGGTCAGCAAACTATGACTCATGGGCCAAATCTAGCTGACCATGTGACTTTTATTAATAAAATTTTATTGGAACACAGACACCTACCTTTGTTTATATTTTGTCTATAGTCACTTTTGTGCTATAACAGCAGAGATGAGTTGGTGCAATGGAGATCTCTGACCCACAAAGCCTCAAATGTTTATTATCTACCCCTTAATTGAAAAGGTTTACCAACTCTTATTCAAGAATCATGAGGTATTAGTCTATTTTAGTTACAATGCTTGCTGTTATCATCCCCCAGTAAGGGACTCATGAAAGAATGAACTGAGCCCAGATCCACACAAAGGCCAGACCTGTGGTTCAAGGCATCCCCCCTTTGAGGGTGCATTGCCTAGAGATGGTTTTCTGTGGCTTTGCTGCGAAGGTGGGTACACTGTTACACACCGTAAGCTGCAGCTGAGAAATGGCCCCAATCCTTAACTGGCTGCCTACAGGAATCCTGGATGTCTTTGGCACAGTCTTCCCACCTTGCCTGCCAGCATTAAAGGGCTGACACAGCAATTAAACTTATTAAGCAGCCTGACCTCATGTGGTGAGGAATTTTAAACACCAGATGGACAGCCTTATTAATAAGGGAGTATCTGGAAGTTCTACCACTGCCTGCCATAGGAAGATGATTGTAAGTCCTTTCTAGAATAAAACTCAGCTTCCTAGCAAAATGCAAGGGTAAAGTTTTCAATTTCATTTTCCCTTTTTCCGTGCTGTATTCAAAGAAAAAATTAAATAAAAGCCTCCCTACCCCCATTAGGCACTCACAAGCACATGCTTGGGCGCATACTCTAGGAAGTGCAATGTCAAGAAAGAAGTTAACACTTCCAGAATTGATCATTTTCTTGAGAAATACAAGAGCAGCACCAGCAGCTATCACCGCCTACTTCTCTGACCTCCACCAACCCTGGGAAATTGCTGCTCAGAAATAATGAATGCTCTTGGCATGGCGAGTCTGTCACTTAGACAAATCAGGCGGATCTCCAGGATTGGACCCTTTAATGTTCTTAGGCCATTTTTTCTCTCTGACAATTGTCAGCTGGATGATGATAATCCCTACCTTGTCACAGGCCCATTTATCATGTGAATGCTCAGCATACTTGGTGACGATGTATTCCAATTTTTCAGGCAAGGAAAAACTATGAAACAAGGGAAAAAAATTACAATCTTCCAAAGCACTTCAGTCAGACATGGCAGAAGACAGTTAGAACTAACAAACTGTCAGAAGTTGGATTTGGTCAACCAGCTAACCCCAAAGCTGAAGCTGGACTCCAGATATAGTGACATGACTGAGAAGGAGTGGCATAGCTGGGGCTGGTCATGGAAACACACCAAGTCTAACCGCAGGGCAGCTCTGCAGAAGCCTCAGCTGCACAGGTGGCCCCCCACCCTCGACTTTGGGTTATCTTGGCTCCTGGGTAAGACCTGTCCAGGTTAGACAGTGAGGATCCCTTTATCCAAAAAAACTGGAATGCCATCCTATGGCTCTAATCTGGGAGTGGCAGAAATGAGTAGCCAGAGAACCATAGGTTACAAAATAGTGATTGTCTACCTTTTGGGGTTCAGTGACTCGTGGCTAGATACTAAAATTTTAGTGGCACACAGTAGACACCTGCCATTTCGGTTTGCCCAGCAGCTCTTGTCCCCTCTGTCGGTATCAGCACTGCCATCCCCTTTGCTCGCATAGTGTTCTTGTATTGCATCGAGTGTTATGTGGACTGTCACCAAGAGCATGTCAGATTCACTCTCCTTGGAACTGAAATCTTGAGTTGTGAGACAGGGCAGGCAAACAATTTTCAAGGTGATTCATCCAATGGGACACCTGAAGATTGTCCTTTGGTCATTGTGCCTCAATGCCGAGCCTTCCCTGGTGTCTGTCCTTTTCACTAGCTTTCATTGGGCTTTTATGTCTCCATGCTCTTGCAATAGGTGCTTTTCTTAAGTTAGCCAGGGCTAGTCCCCATTCCTCATGTTACTCAAGGGACCATACTGATGCCAGAAGTACATCTGAAGAAATCAGAACTCTCAAAGTAACACAGAAAGACTCATCATTAGCATACAACTGCTAAAGTATAATTTTGTCTCATATTGTTTACAAAAGCATCAAATTTATTATATTAATTACTTTGTCTCTGTGCTTTTTTATTGAGTTGGGGTCTTACTCCGTCACCCAGGCTGGTGTGCAGTGGCATGATCATGGTTCACCACAGCCTCAACCTCCTGGGCTCAGGAGATCCTTATGCTTCAGCCTCCTGGGGGCTACAGGTGCATGCCATGATGCCTCGCTAATTTTTAAATTTTTTGTAAAGACACAGTCTTGCTATGTTGCCTAGACTGTTCTATAACTCCTGTGCTCAAGTAATCCTCCTGCCTCAGCCTCCCAAAGTGTTGGGATTACAGGTATGAGCCACTGCACCCAGCCGACAGTCTTGCAGTTTTATAGACAGAGTTTTCCTAAGTCAATGCCTGCCTTTTCTGGCACCACCATGATGGTTCACCATGCTCCTTACTCTCCCTTATAGCAGGTTCAATTCTGTTCCTAACCATCCCCACAACTCAAGGCTATGTCCAAAAAATGTGTGCTTAATTATCCCAAAGATGAACTATATACATTATTAAAGCAGTCAGCACTCTGCAAAGGGTTCGGGCTCTCATTTGAGAATGATTACCACTGAAGACAAATCCAAGGGCCTGATACAGGCTCAGGCTTGCTCTCCCCACTCACTCTAGAATAAAATTCAGTTTGGCAGCTCTTCATTTAAAATGCACCTGGAGCTGACTGTATACCTCCATGACACCTATTTATAACCAGGCCGAACTACCACAAACCAAAACTGAGCAATATTTTACCCAAAGGACAAACAAACACACTTCCATGGCCTAATCAATGCCAGCGGGGGGATTCTGGAGAATCACGGTGAGAAATTAAAAGGTGCATAGTAGGATTACTCCAAAGTTCTAGCATCCCCTGCCATGGCAAAGAGCAGGGCCAGCCTCTCAGTGAGGACCCCTAGCTGTTTTGCCATCACATCCAAGGCCTTGCCAGAGCTAAGTTGAGTGTTATTTATTGGGCTGTTTTGATGTACAATGCTATCAGAATTGTATGGGTCTAATTCACAAGGAGCAAAGATTTTATCAAAGACTCATTAATAAATTAATTGCACAATTTGTCAAGGTGGTTTTCTCAATGCCTCAGGTGACATTTAGTTGTGGACACATCTGCCTCTTGTAATACATAAACCAATCTTTCCCTCCCCCGCAAAAGCCCAGGATATAATAATACAGTATATAATCAGATACGTATGGATTAAGCCTTGTGTCTGATGGTACTTGTAGTGTCAAGGAAAATGATGAAAAGCATTGGCAGAGGGAACAAGGGGAAGCTTATATTTCTTGCTCCCTTCTGAGAGAAAACATTGGCTACTGGACAAAATCTAGGACCAGCTTAGAGATGGTTCTGGACTCACTTCATGGTGTTGATAGGTTTGGGGTCAAAGTTGCCATCTGCATCCACTGAGACCTGTTTCTCCAACGTGGCTGTGATTCTGGTATCTACATAATCTGGTGGCAAGGCCCCAGCTATAGCACTGAGACAAGGCAGGGCCATTCGGAAAAGATCTGGGTCATATTTCTGTGAGGGAAAACCAAGACCACATTAGTAGAGAAACCACAACCATGCCAGCAGGCAGAAGCATTCACTAATCGGCTGAAAATGAATATAAAAATGCAGGCATTTGTCCAGGTTCACCAAGATGGGGAATATGTAGTCCCTTTAATATTTTTGGGTAGAAACTGAGGGATCCTGGGAGAATGAAACAACACCCTGTAAAGGCTTCAAGTCACCATTTACTTTAAGTTGAAAAATCTTAAAATGAAGTTTAAATCAATATCTCCCAAGTAGTTAACTTCAGGACTACTTAAGGGTTAAAGAGGGCCAGAAAAGTCTATAAACTCATCTGCCAAGAATAGTCATAGAAACTGACCCAATCTATGACTGGGGAGGGCATAGTAAGCTTTGCCAAGCCCCGCAGTAGCTGATGTGGGTCATATGTTGATATCACCAACAGACTGCTTGATATTACAACATTCTCTCTTTAACCCATCCATGAATGAATTTCAGTCAAATAGCGTGGGGTTGGGAACAGCTTTTGATCTCCTTATACTAGACCAATGAAAACTAGGGGTAAAGGGAACTTAAGTGTAGGTGAAGCAATGCCAAATTAAGCTGTGCAAACTTTGGTTTTCAGTTAGTGTTTTTTGAGATTAAAATTGGAACAAAAGAATTAGCCCTCGGAGGACTGTGGAATCTCTGAGAACATACAAACTGTTTTTGTTTTTTGTTTTTTGCCTGGCATGGAGACACGGGATTAAACTATATACGTGTTCCTGACTTCTCTAAGAAAATTGGATCTGCTCACTTTCTATCTTTCTAGCTGGTAACCCTATAAATCTGAATAAACTAGGTGAAAGAAAATGCAATCAAATCTAACGTCAGAACTCTATTTCAATCAGACTATTCAGTAAGGCTTGGGATTCAGAGGTTCCGAGTTCTCTCCTGACCTCCTCCTCAAATAAGTGGCTGTGAAGAATCTTCCCCAGAATGGCTTCAAGTCTTCTGGAAATCCCATGTGCCACCAACAGGGCAGATATCAGGACTTTTCCTTTTGCCTTGAGCTTAGGGAAGGTTGGCTCCAGGAGCCACAACAGCTCAGGGGGAAAAGAAGGGGGAGGGAAATCATCAAGCCTAAAATCACACAATATTCCTGTAATTTACTCTGGTAGTCGCTCTCCCACATGCTATGTTTGTGAGTCTAGCAAGTAATTCCACTGCTCTGAGACTTTTCTTCTTCTGTAAAATAAACATTTTGACAGCTTCCATCTCAGAGAGTTGGGTAAGAATTAACATAATATGCTTGTGAGGTACTTAGAACAGTTCCTAGCATATGGTAAAGCTAAATAGATGATGGTTACTATTATCTGTAGGTTCTTGGTCATTGAGGGTCTCCCTTTTTGTCCAGGAAGCACTCTCTGTACCTTATGGGAGAGGGAGTCAAAAATCCCCCAGAAGAGCTTCTCTGTTAGGTGCAGCTCTTCTTCCACAGCCAGGCCATAGTTTCCCCATCCTGAAGGCAGACAGTAATACTTCCAGCACTGTTCGTAGTGATTTGTTAGAAGCTGGGAGGTTCAGAGCAGGATGGCACCAGGGGCGTGGGGTGGAGAAAGTCCACAGGCATCAAAAACACACAGGGAAGAAGAAAATAGTAAGCGGAGATCATGAGAATGAAACTGACATTGGAAACAGTTGGGTTGTCTACAAAGTAATCCTCCAAACATGGCAGGGAACAATCTGCTCTCCTGCCTAATGAACTCTAGCCTGAGTTGAATCAGCCTGAATCATTCTTGTGTCTCCTAATGTGCCCCTAGCAGTTACTAGAAATGGAGAGGAAACCGTTTCTGCGGCAAATAAGAAAATGCCACCTTCTGAAAGTAGTCACTGTGTGCTATTCTAGCTAGTCACGGCTGGAAAGAACTTCTCCTGGCATATTTGCTTGTAATTCTGGAAGATCCTGGAGGATACTGATATGGGGAGGGGATGGTTGACAGAAAGCTGTGGGTCTAAGATTTTTCTCTATGTTGATACTACCCATGGCTTCCTTGCTTCTCTCTAGCCCTCTGATAGCACAGTGATGTTATAGCAGTTTCAAATCTTGCCAGCAGAGGGCAGAAGTACACTGGTAATGGTCCCATCCCAGCAGGTGAGATCCACATCCCCTAAGAAAAATCTCACTGATGTGAGAGGTAAAAGTGAGCTTATTGAATGGCATCACTAATGCCTCTTCAAAGTCAGCATCCAGCTGACAGCAAAAGCTTGCAGAGGGAACAATGCCAAATTAAGTTGTGCAAAATGTGCTTTTCAGTTAGTGTTTTTTGAGATTAAAATTGGGACAGAAGAATTCGCCCTTAGGGGACTATGGAATCTCTGAGAACATACAAACTGTTTTTTGTTTTTTGTTTTGCCTAGCATGAAGACACGAGCTTAAACTAACAGTTTCTTGGAATTCTGGTTACCCCAGTAAAATGCTTATTGAAATCCTTGCTTGGACTATTTCTGAAAAGAAGAAAAAGTTCTGCTAAAATCACTAGGCAGAATTTTTAGGTGTGGATGGCCATAGACACTTTTGAATATGCAAATATGGCAGGTGCCTCAGAGACAAAAACACTGTCCTCTTGGGTGGGTGGCTGATTCTGGCACCCTCCCATCAGGCCCAGATGCTTCCAGTAATAGTGATACAATATTTGCAATTTATGAGAAAATCAAGAATTAGACAACAAACAAAGAGTGGGCTCTGTGGCCTTTTTATTAATAAAGAAAAAAATGTAGAAAGCAAACAAAAGAGAAGATCTGTTTCAATGGCAAAAAAAAAAAAATTAAAAAAGAGCACAAAACAGAATAAAATAGAAAAGAGACATTTTAGACTCTTTAAACGAAAAAGCACAGGGCCTTCAAAGCTTTTTGAGATTGAAAACATTTCTAAAACTTAATTAGGGCAGAAAAGCACAAAATCTAAGTCCCCATACTAGCCTCTGAGAAATAACAAGTCGTCAGTGGAAAGCAATTAAAGAAAATGGGAGAGCACTTAATGATTCCAGCAAACTTACTCCCTTCAACTTGGGTATTTGCGAAGAGGTTTGAATTTGTGGGTTGTATCTTGTTAGGTAACTATCAACTCAAGGGAGTAAAACTCATTTAGTGTGTATCGTGTGCTCCAAATTATAAAGGCATCCTGTATTACAAGGCAAGATGCCTGGGCCACGAAATGTATTTCTGACAAGAGTGATGTTTACCTTGAGAGGCATTTTGCAGTATTCATTGAGTTGTGGCACATCAAAAACAAGGCGTCGCAGAAGTTGCTGTAACATGGAAGGCCTCAAGTGACTGCCGTATGGAATAAGAAAAGCAGAAGGAAAATAAATAAATGAGACAATGAAGAAAGAAAGAAGAAACTCAACAGCAAGCATATTTTAGAACCAAGCCTCGAAATGACTAATTAGCTCCTAATATATAAGACCTTGGATACACAACCGTTGATGATAAAACTGAGTAGAGTTAAAATTCAGAGAGAGGGACGTAGTGCTAACGAGTTGGAATACTTAAGGTTAAATTCTAATTGCCGTGTGACAAAATGTTCCAAGATCTCTGCATACTCAAAATATATTCACTGAATATGTGCAAAAAAATATAGCAGAAAGAAGGTGCAGTTAATGTTATAGTTATCTTTGAGATTCCCTGAGCTTGCAAAGGGAGAAACTAGAGGCACTTAGTTGCACAGGTGGAATCTGAGGCCACCTACTGGTGTGATTTGAAGAGAACTTTAACGCCCTCTGGCTTATGATCTGGTCCAGGGAATTCTCACTACTGGAATCTTTTATGGGGGGCAAGGCTTTGTTCCCAAAACAACTACTTTAAAAGGAAAACACAGTAACTGAAGAATAATTTATCAAATGACAGTTCATGGCCTTGGTTTTGGGTGCAAGTAAATTTTGAGATAGAGAAAGGAGAGATAAGCAACATTAATTTAGCTTGTATTTCTAGGTTGCCAGACCTTTTTAAAACCCAGTGGAACCTACGAATTTTCTCCAGAGAAAAGTGAACACACATAAACAAAACTTGGTATATGTAAGTTCAGCCCATGAACTCCCGAATTCCTTTCAAGATGCTTAAGGAACTATGGAGGCAAAGCACATGACTCTGATGTCGAATGTCAGAATGCCAGGGAAGAAATCCTTGGAGGCATGTACAAGGGGGCTGGAGGCAAGTGGAGGTAGAAAACAAAACTCATCTGTTTCACTACTTTTTCTAGAGCTGGCCTTGGAATTAAGAAGCTCTGGGATGGAAATATACAGCAAGTAAGTAACCTTGTCTGTAAATCTAGTAATTAGAATGTAAATTACTCAATGTTTCACATTATCGTTCAATTAATTAACAATGATCACCTAAGACTGACTAATTTGAATGAAATCAAAGAGTGCGATAAATCTGTAATTCAACTAGTTCCTGACTTGTTAAAAATAAACAATGAAAAAACCTAGTTAGGTTCACTTTGTCTGCTGTATCTACAGGTCCAGTGGCGGAGAAAGAAGTATGCAAAGCCCTAACAGTACAGTCGTAGGACTGTGAGCTGTACTTTTTGTTCAATGTAAAATTCTAATTTCCCTAAAATCTATTTATTTAAAAGTATTTGCAGCTCAGATCAGTTGTACCAACATGACTTTCTTACTAGAAAATAGCTTATGTTGGGAGGCAGGACACCTTGGTTCATGTGGTTTCCTCTAGGTCTTTTCATAGCTCGATAGCTCACCCTAAGAAAACATACTGTGCAATGACACAGCTTGTCCCCTAAAGTAGTTGAAGTTGTAGGCCTTAGGAGATACAGAGACAGAAGATATAGTTTGATTTTAATATGGGGACTACTTAAAATGTAGGAACTATTGTTATATTTGAAATATAAGCTTGAGTTTTGTGTGTGTGTGTGTGTGTGTGTGTGTGTGTGTGTGTGTGTGTGTGTATGTGTGGAGTCAGAGTCTTACTCTGTCACCCAGGCTGGACATTCTGGGCTCAGGTGATCCTGCTGCCTCAGCATCCTGATTAGCTGGTACTACAGGCACATGCCACCATACCAGGCTAATTATTTCATTTTATTTTTTTTGTAGAGACAAAGTCTCACCTTGTTGTCTAGGCTGGCCTAGAATTGCTGAGCTCAAGCAATCCACCCACCTCAGACTCCCAAAGTGCTGGGATTACAGGCTTGAACTACTGTGCCCAGCCAAGATTACCCTTTTAAAAATATATAAAAATTTTTTAAACCGACTTTATTTTTCAGAGCAATTTTAGGTTCACAGCAAAATTGAGCAGAGGTACAGAGAGTTCTCATATACCCCTGTCCACATACAGTCACATCATCCACCATTATCAACATCCCTCTTCCACCCCCCAGAGAGGCACATTTGTGATAACTGATAAACTTAGATGGACACATCATTGTCACCTAAAATCCATACTTTATATTAAGGTTCACTATGGGTGTTGCACTTTCTATGGCTTTGGACAAGTGTTTGATGACAAAGAGTCATTGTTCTAGTATTTTCATTGCCCTAGAACTCCTCTGTGTTCTGCCTAACCATTAATCTTTACATTGTTTCTAGTTTTGTGTTTTCCAGAATGTAATATATAACATTGGAATCATATAGATGTAGCCTTTTCAGATTGGCTTCTTTCACTTAGTAACATGGATTTAAGGTTTCTCCATGTCTTTTCATGTATTGACACCTCATTTCTTTTCAATGCTGAATAATATTCCATAGTCTGGATGTACCACAGTTTATTTATCCATGCACCTACTCAAGGACATCTTGATGGCTCCCAGGTTTTGGCAATTATGGATAAAGCTGCTACAGACATCTGTGTGCAGGTTTTTGTGGGCATAAGGTTTTAACTCATTTGGGTAAATACTAAGGAGTGTGATTGCTGAATCATGCAGTAAGAGTATGTTTGGTTTTGTAAGAAACTGTCAAACTATCTTCCAAAGTGTCTGTGCCCTTTTGCACTCCCACCAGCAATGAATGAGAGTTCCTTTTGTTCCACATGCTTGTTAGTATTTGATGTTATCAGTGTTCTGGATTTTGGTCATTCTAATATATGTGCAGTGATAGCTCACTGTTGAGATTGACCTTTAGTGTCATACTCTAAAAAGGACTGATTCATTTTTTTCTAGGTAGCCCTAGCTCCCCAATGCATAGTCATTTCTTGTGATATTAGAAAGAACTCATTCAACAAGAATCAAAATCTTACTCAGCTGCTCCCTACAGGGGAAGTCTGCTGATCTTCCTGCCAGGGTACCAGAAGCAGTGATTCTCAAGCTTGGTTGCATATTGGAATCACCTAGGGAGCTTCAAACGCTAGAATCCTGGGTCCCATCCCCCAAAGGTTTTAATTTTGGGGGCCAGGGTATGGCTTGAGCATTGGGATATTTATTGAGCAACTCACCAGGTACTTCTAATATGGAGATGAAGAGGGGGAAAAAAGGCCTGAAATAGTAGATCATGGTCCTGGCCTGTGCTGCTGAGGCCTACAATTGAAGGGGCCTTCCTCCTCTGATTCTACCTGATTTAATGTAGATTCCTGAAGACCCAAGGCTCTTGGGATGACTTTACCTTTTGTCCTCAGCTGGCTCTGATGCCCATCTGAAGTGATTAAAAATTATTACCCTTGATTCCCCACTGGGACTGGAGATTATTTTCTTTTCTTTGCCCAAGGTCCTGGGAAACCTGGAGGTAAGTCACCTTTATTCACACTCTTAGAGTGTGGCCTCTGTGTAAGGTCCACTCATTTAGAAGGCAGAAAAATCTTCTTCTGGATCTATCTTGAGAATGATACAACTAGGTCTGAAAGACAGTCTCCTAGTCTATCAATCCTGAGGGCTAAAGCCTGAGCTGTGCCCTTCCTTTTCCCCAAAGTGAAAGATGAAACTCAAGGTAGAGCCTGTGGCAAATAGGGGACCAAGAGCATCCCATGAGGCGATGTAAAGGGCTGCTATGTGACGAAGGCCTGGAAGCTTCATCCGACTGAATCACCCATTTTTATTTTTTACCCATTTTTAAATTACACAATTAAACGAAGTTGCCCTGGATGCATATAGAGAAGTAAAAACACAGGAGGGGTACTTACTTGCAAATGGCAAGCAGACATTCTTCTATGGTGTCCCTCTGTGCTTTGGTGAGGGACCGTCCTTTGGAGAGTCTGTATATTGTCTGCAGTGTAGAATCAATCAGAGAGGTGCTGTGTTCTGTTCCAGCAAAGAGAGGGGCACATCTTGTAAGGAGTGGGAGCACAGCAGAACATATATACCGATTTAGTGCAAGTGCAGCCTCTGTGGTGCTCAGGGAAACCTAGGGAAGGCAGATCAGGAAGCGGGTTAATCTCCCTGGGGAACAGAGCAAAGCTCACCTAGTGCACAGAGGTCCCATGCAGCAGATTGGGGGAGTTTCACAGCAATGGAGTGGGCTACATTCTTCCTTGTCAGCAGGTCTACTTTCCTTTCGCATTTTAAACAAAAGAAAACAAAGATCAGGTTAAAAGAAAAAATAAACAGAAGAAAACAAAGAACAAAAGTTGGTTGGCTGGTTCTAACTCATCCCAGATGACACCATAAACATTTGTTCCTCTCAAAGATTTCTGAACGCTTATTAAAATCAGCTGATGGCCAGTCTAACCCAACATCTCGGATACTTGCAAAGTGAAATTGCCAGGCCACTACATTATTACTCTAGTTTCAACTCTTTTTTTCTCACTTCCTGGGGACTCACACATTGTCCTCTTATGATTTTAAGATTAGTGAATGGCTATAGGTCAAGAAATATCTCAAATTCACCAGTTTTGTGACAGCTTTACAAAAAGAAAGTAGAACTCTGACCCCTATCAATTAATTTATGAGCACTGTGAACAATTTACAATCAATAAATGACACGAGGATAGATCTCACTAATGAGAATCTAACTCTGCATGGGAAAAAGTGTAAAAGGAACAGAAACTTGGACCTTCCATAAAACTCGAGTGTAATTCTTGCTCACAATGTTCTTGTACATTCATTTAGATGGACGGGCTGAATACAAGGACCCTACTTAGTGACACTAAATATAGCCAAAGCTTGCCTAACTATCTTTGAACATGGTATAACTTCAAAAGGGAACTTGAGATCCACAGAGATAAAAATATTATCATTTCCTGTGATTATCTCAATCATTATATCTGGAACACACTTTCTATAACTTATGATTTAAAAAAACTGTTTTCTTTGAACTATACACAGTTCTGAGTGTTCCTATAAATTATCAAAAGTTTGCCTTCTAGAAACTTTAGTAATCATGCTGGGTGAGATAGCTAATCTTTCACATTTATCACTTCAATAGACAGAGTTGTTAAAATGAGGAAAGACAGAGCTTTGATGCCAGTGGTTTAAAAGTTTTCAAAAGAGAATGTATGAATGTCTGTATGTTGAGGAACTGAATATACGAGTAAAATCTTTTGTTGTAGATGGTTTTTGGACACTAGATGGTAGAATAGCATTTGCTGTTTATTTGATCCATAAAAAATTAAATGCTTTTATCAGAAACCTTGAGGAGGGCCCATAAGTTAAGAAAATAATTTTTTAAGTCAAGGAATTTAAAGAAAAGTTCACAACAAAAGTGGTGAAAGCATTGCTTTAATTTCCTAACACCTCCATGGATGTACCATTTCTTGTCTCCACGCTACAGATAGTGATGGAGCTTCCATTTAGGCTCTATTGCTTTCCATTTCTGGACAACCCATTCAGACAAAATTCATCCCAGTTTAGGTACTGGCTGCTGTCTATCCATCACAAAGCTCAGACATCTATCTTTGTTGGACACCAGGTGGAGCCTTTGAGAAACCTTTTCACTGACTCTTAAAATCAATCTTAAACTGGCAAGATGTTGTTTAGACTTAGACTGACCTACTTCTTTTCTCCTTGGACACAGAACTCCTGGTGCACTGTTTCTTTGCTTAATCCTGACTTGTGGCATCTGGTGTTTAAGCTCTGTAACTCCTGGGGTGCCTTCTGTTTTGATGTCTGTTAATGTTGAGCCACTTCACCTCATCATTGATTTCCAAACTTCTTGCTGCCCTTGTTCTCTTGCACTGACCGTTGTCATACCCCTGGCTCCAGACCAACCCAGTACATGAAACAAAGTAGTGAGAGTGAGAGGAGTAATGCCAGCCTGCGGTGCTGCCAGCAAGCCCTTTTCATGAGCAATAGAACCATGGTTCTCACTTGAGAATGATTTTGTCTCAGGGGACATTTGGTGCCATCTGAAATTAGTTTTAGTGGGGCTTAGGGGAGAATTTAGAGTGCTACGGGTGTCTAGCAGGTAGAGACCAGGAATACTGCTAAACATTCTACACGACACAGAATATCCTCTTACAACAAATACTGCCAGGGTTGAGAAACTCTGGGAACTGGATTGAATATTGGAGGTTAAATTTATCTACGTTTCTGGCCCCCAAAATTAAGATCTTCCATTTCATGGTGCCTCTATTTTCTCATCCTTTAAAGCAGGTTACTAAAATGTAATCAATGAGTCAACAGAAAATATTTGCTTCTGAGACAAATGTTACTAATTTTACAATGATGGGAAAAATAGTTTTTCTTATTTTTGCAACTTACTGTATCTAGAGAGGCAGAAGCTCTTAAGTCAGGTAAAAATCCAACCTCCAGCAAGTGGAGCAGAAAAGTTTGATCTTTAATGCCATAAACACGGTCCAAGAACAGCACCATTGGTGCCTTGTGGTCAGGGCAGAAGTTGGCTGCCATATCTGGCTCACTGATGGACCCATCTGAAAGACACATAGAAAACGTCATTTCCACCAATTCCTGATCAAAACTCCAAAGTGCCTATACCATAAGAAATAAAATAGACAAGTGAGATGTCATCAAACTGACAAGCTTCTGCAAAGTAAAAGAAACCATCACAAGAGCCAGGAGACAGTCCATAAAATGGGAAAAAATATTTGCCAACTGTATATCTGACAAAGGTCTACCATCTAGGATCTACAAGGAACTCAAATGTGCCTAAAGGAAAAAACAAACAGCGCTATTAAAAAAGTGGGCAAAAAACATGAATAGATACTTCTCAAAAGAAGATATACCGGCAGCCAACAGACACATGAAAAAGTGCTCAGCCTCACTCATCATCAGAGAAATGCAAATCAAAACCACATTGAGATACCACCTAACCCCAGTAAGAATGGCCATCATTAATAAAACAAACAAAAATGTGGTATATATACACAGTGGAATATTATGCAGCCACAAAGGACAAACATAGGGCTTCACAACAACTTGGATGGATTTAGAGTCTATCATACTCAGTAATCTATCACAGAAACAAAGAACAGAGTACCATATGTTCTCACTCATAAGTGGACCTTGAACAATTATCATAATACTACAAGAAAGAGATGGGCAGTAATGAGAAACTGCCAGGGGGAGGGTGAGTTTTGCAGTTGAGAGAAACTGCCAGGGTAGGGAGGGGCACTCCTCATCAACAAGGGTAACTGCATAATGAATATCTGTATACCTAGCCCTGAGTTGTACCTCACATCTTTAAAATAAAAAAAAAAAAGTCATTTCCCTTTTTTCTATCTTCACAGTTTCAAAGGCAACATATAACTTATCTGTTTATGGCTTGTTCTTTTTGTTTTTTTTTCAGGATTTTTAGGTTTTAATTTGCTTTTTTTCCTTCTTCAGTCACGTTTCAATTGGGAATATTGAAAAAAAAAACCCACACACAAATAGACAAACTGAATAGATGAGCCCTGCTCTTTGGCAGTTTAAGGATGGCAGACAAGGAAAGGCCTGATTCATCTTGTGAACTGTTCACCTCAGGACAAGGAGCAGGGACATCATCACTCTGTCTGGAGACCTGCTGTCAGCCCACCTGAGTTCCAGCTCAAGGGTTGTTGAATCCTTCTTTTGGCCTCTCACCCTACTGGATTCTGAAATGTTTGGTTTTGTCTCCACAGGGCAGGACACATCCTCACAGAAAATTGAAGACTTGATGGAAATGGTGAAAAAGCTGCAGAAAGGTTACGTGTCTCCTCTGTGTCTGAAGGTTCAATTTCAGGTCCCACAATGTACAAACTTAGCACATAGTCCCTTCATCTTCTCTTGTTTTTAAAATTGAATTCCTTGAACTGAAATAGGAACCCATAATTCAAAATTGCAGAAGCATAAGGATATACAGAGGGTAAAAACTTTTTCTTTTTTCTTTTTTTAATCAATATTTTTTATTATGATGTTGTGGGGTACAGCTAAGGCTTAGGTATACAAATACGTTTCATTCAGGCACCCTATTGATAAGTGGTGCTTCCCCATCCCCAGACAGATGTTTGCTACCATTAACCCACCACCCTCCCCCCCATAGTTTCCCACTACTGTCATTTTCTTATAGTATTAGGTTGGATGTTTAAGGTCCATTATATGAGTGAGAACATGTGATACTCGGACCTTTGTTTTTGTGAGAGGTCACTCAGTATTATAGACTCTAGTTCCATCCAGGTTGCTGCAAAATTCATGATTTTGTTCTTTTTTATGGCTGCATAGTATTCCATCGTGTATATGTACCACATTTTTTTAATCCAGTCCTCTTTTGATGGGCAGCATGGTTGCTTCCAGGTTCTTGCTATTGTGAACAATGCTGCGATAAACATACGTGTGCAGGTATCTTTTTTATAGAGTGATTTGAATTCTTCTGAATATATTCCCAGTAGGGGGATTGCAGGGTCATATGGGAGGTTGATATTTAGAACTTTTAGGAATTGCCACACTGTTTTCCACAGAGGTTGCACTAGTTTATACTCCCACCAACAGTGTAGAAGTGTTCCCTTTTCGCCACACCCTCTCCAGCAGCTGTTATTTTTTGAGTTGCTGATAACTGTCATTCTGACTGGAGTTAGGTGGTATCTCAGTGTGGTTTTGATTTGCATCTCCCTGATGATTAGTGAGGTTGAACATTTCTTCATATGTCTGTTGGCTGCTCGGATGTCTTCCTTTGTGAAGTGTCTGTTCATATCTTTTGCCCATTTTATAATGGGGTTGTTTGTTTTTTTCTTTTCAGCACTTTTGAGTTCCTTGTAGATCAAAGATGTTAAGCCTTTGTCTGACCTGGTGTTGGCAAATACTTTTTCCCAATCTGTAGGCTGTCTCCCTGCTCTCTTGATGGTTTCTTTGATTTGCAGAAGCTTGTCAGTTTAATAAGGTCCC